TTACAACATATTCCAATAGCAAAGACATTATTGCATAGCAACAACATATTTTAGCAATACATTACAACAACAAAAGCATTTGAATGCAACATCATAATATTCCAACAATCCATCACAAAGATGATAACCTTGCATTGTAGCAACATCTCATCATAGCAATACATTGAAGCAATAAAGCATTATAGCACAATAGCAACATAGCACAATAACAAAAATATTGTAGTACAATAACACTTTATTGTAACAATATAAATATTTTAATATAATAATAACTTATTATAAGAACATCTTATTGCAATAGTATAAATATTGTAGTATAATAATTATTTATTACTAAAATACCTTATTGATAAAACTACTCTCAGATATCTTGTTTGCTAAATAAAAGAGCAGCTTGTCCTCTAAGTATTCAACAGTTGCCAACAAGAATAATCCAATTTTTTTGTTTCCAAGAGCTACCTCTCTTGTGTTGGCAATTGTCCAAATTTAGTCTCAAATTCCATGATTAGTTCATTTGGAGCCATTTGATTTCTTGGCCTTTACTCAATCTACTCCAAAAAGATTTGTTTTTTCATTCTCTCTAAATCTTCCTCAAAAACTTTATCTTTCAAGAGTTCTTCAAATTTCTTCCTTCACATTGCCTCAGTATGCAACTCCTGCATCTTCCCTCTAATTTTTGGTATCATTGCCAAATCAAAGATGGTAATCATCTTCAATTCTGAAACTTGATGCACATATGTTTTACATGTATAAATCCTAAGGAACTTAGTGATGTCACTCTCATCAAACCTTCCAATCTTATCCATCACTACTTGTAAAGCTTAGGTGTTGTTTCTATCCTTTCAATGCACTTGTTGCCTCTCTTTTATAAATTTAGCAGATACCTTGAATAAATCATGGGTACCTATTCCACTTGGTAAAGCAAACCTTGGGATTTGATTTCCCATCTTGACTTGTTGAAAAATTTGGTGCCTTAAGGCTCTCTCAAAAGAAGCACCAATAATGTTTGGATAGAGAGAATTTGTCTTAAAAAAGCATTGGACTTTTGGCTATCTCTAATTGTTCAATCAAGTCTCAAGATAGAAAAGTATCAAGTTATATATATATATATATATATATATATATATATATATACGTATATAAATTTATTCCAATATAGGTAATTACATCAATACATAATTTCTTAGTACTAAAGAAAATCCAAAATATAATAAAAATATTCGAAATCCTTATATATTCCTAAGGTGAATTTTTTCCAAACTTCAATAGATCATATCTCACAATCGACCTATCCAAACAAACTTAAAATTTACATGAAGTATTGATGTACTTTAAAAAGCTATCACAAAAAAGTTTAATTACAAATTTCTTACAAATCTTGAGATATTGCTAAAATGCTAACAATAGCTTCATAGCCTTGCTTGAATATGCCCCTATGAAATTTTCTTCATATCTCACAAACTAAATATTTAAATATCATAAAAAAAATTTATTTATAGTTTTTCAACCTAATAATACATATCTTTAGAAAATTTGAGCCAAAAATTTGTTCAAAAACTCAAGGTATACTTCCAACTATTATTATCAACAAAATGATCCATGTACTGCCTTTGAATTACATGTATTGTCTTCAATGCTTTATAACTCCTTCATACAAACTCCAAATATAACAATTCTTTTGTAAAGATGTAAATGTTGAAATCACCCTTATGATTGCATTCTTGATCTTCAAAATCTATTGTATAACTCCTTGTATTTTCAAAAGAGTAACAATATGTCTTAAAAAGACACATTAACTTCAAATGGCTATAACTTCATCACCTTAATTCCAAACCTTTTAAACTTTGTGCAATCATTGATTTTAATTCTCAAATGTTCTTTTTGAAGTTGCCAAAATCCTTGTTATCATTGCAGATAGCCTCTTCAGAGCCTATAAGACATGGCTTTTGACCAATAGGGATGAAGATCCTCATTCTTTACCTTCATCCATCCATACTTTACTTTCATCCTTCCAAATAAGCTTCTTAGAGGTTTGCATCTTCATCTTTGAGCTCCAATCTTTTCTTTAAATTTTGTACTAAATATTTAAATCTTATATAATTTAAATATTACAATCAAAATAAGTAAACTTCAAAATAAATTTTCTTACATCAATTCTCTTTAAATTAACCTATTAACCACTCTAATACACATCAATACTTATAAATATATCATATATTTTAGTCAATTTTTACATACTATAAACAATTAGAATATAATAACATTGAGGCCTACTTATGCAATTTTCAAATAAAAATTTAAAAAGTCGATTGTCATTCTTCAAAGCAAAATCAATTACTTGACTCAATGTTTGAGGATTAAGTAAATTGACCATCAATTTCTTTACCTCATATTATAATCCATAAAGAAATTGGCTAATGAGTGCAGCATCATCCCACTTGATATCAATCATAAGTTGTCAAAATTGTGAAGCATACAATATTATACATTGATTAACTCCCTTAAATATACTAGCATTTGTACCATTGCACTATTCATTTTGACAAGCTCTATTATAATAATACTTAGAAGAAAAGAGATGTCTAATATTGCTAAAGATAAATAAAAGAAAGAACTTGAGAACAAAAAAAACAATATCAAATTTAAATGAGGATAATCCACAACATCTAATATGCTTATGTCTTATCAAGATAAAAAGATAATCCATTCTTAATCAAGAAAAGTCAAAACTTTGATATTGTAAGTGTATTCTTGTCAATCTCTCAAAGATAAGAATTCAAAGAAAACAAATATACAAGTGAGACTTTTTCAAAGAAGTATGAAAAAATAGAAATAAAAAAATATGTATATTAAAAAGAAACTAGAATTGCTATTGCCAAAATACAAGAAAACTAGACACTTCTTCAAACTAAACTAGAAGCAAGAAAGAAATTGACGAGAATGAAGAAGACTTCATTCTTACTTCTATATATATTATCTATCTAGGAGCTACATGGCGAAATTCTATAAGACCTCCAAAACGTGTTGACTTTGTACAACACATATCTTGACTTATAAGGCAAGTTTTTTATATGGGCGCCATATAGTTAGCTTTTCCGCAAGCTACCAACATGTGTGGCACGTGCTTAACTTGCTGACCAAGTGTCTAACCTACCAATCAACAACAAACACATATAAAGTCAAAGCAACATCTATAAAGCTTCTAGGAAGCTTCTTTAGAAGATATTATAAAATTAATCTACTTTTATCTATTTCTACCTTTTTATATTACTTGAATAACAATTACAATAAATACATGTCCATGACAAGTTGACAATTACAAAGTCAACTAATAGAAAAAACTAAGGAGATAGAATTCTCTACCATCATACTTGTAAAGTTATATTTAGAAAAAAAAAAAAAAAAAAAAAAAAAAAAATTAAATTATATTAACACCAATATACAACCAACAAAAGTTCTTACTAAACCATTAAAAAGAGTGAAATTTGAAACATATAGATAAGCCTTGAGACTTAAAAGCTTAATTACATTGTACAATAGAATAAGAATGGTTGCTATTTCTTACTTCTTTGCTTAGTAACCATGTGGTGATAACAAAGACCATCTTAGATATATGGAGTTTGGCTAACTTCTAATTAAAAATAATTGGTCAAATGATTGCTACTTTTTTCATTTAACCAACTTGAACAACTTTATCTATACCTTTAATTTCCTCACCAAACTACTATTCAAAATGTAGTTAATTAGTTAGATATTTTCCAAACATATATAAAATCTTATAGATATAATAAACTTTGAAGTAAAAATTTTACTCTTTTAAATGGATGTTTAATAATTTGATATTCATAGTTACATGATTTAATAAAAGCACCTTTTAATCCATATCCAATACAAGTCCTTAAACATTTACATTAAAACTATACTTGCAAGATGACATTATTAAACTTTAAAATATGCATGTAAGATAACTCCAATTAGAATCTATAAATTTCTTATTATAATTTTTTAAAAACAAAATACCAATATATTATTATTTTAATATCCTCTAAGTTAAATCCATATATTAAGTAGAAACAATTATTCTAATAAATAATAATAAAAATCAGACATCTTGCAATAAATTTTTTAAAAAAAAATAGATACATATCATGAAAAATATCCCAAAAATAGCTAACACCATCAAAACATTTGACCAAATGTGCAATTTTAGATGTGTCAAGACAAAAAGAAATATTTGCAAGATTTTGGAGTATCTAAATTAATGTTTGTCCTCTTTGCACTATGAGTAGGATTTCTTTTATTTTGTTTAGTGAAAAGATACATTGCAATTTGTTTTCATAATAAAAACTATATTAATGAAATAGTGCTAAAAAATAACAAGATTAAAAAAACATAACCCTTCTTACAACCTTAAATCCTTCTCATTAGACTACCTCAAAGTTGTGCCATTTAGCACAAAAACCATTCTTTTAAATCTACTTAACCCTCCAATTTCCAATGAGCTTCATGTGCAGACACAAGCATGCTTTCTTTCTTTCTTGAAGAAAACTTATCTGAACAAACGTTAATACTCTACTTGTTGATGAAAGTGGAACTTTGACCACATACAGGCTTGGTGATGTACTTTGTATATCTCCTCACTGTTAGTCTGGTGCAATCCAACCATGCCCATAGAATATGAATGGGGACATGCTTCCAGCCACTCGGGTGTGCAGAAAACTTGACAAGCGAGATTCAAGCAACGGCGACTACGACGCCGATCACGCAATACAAAGCATTGTTAGTATGTGATAAACCAGAGAAAGAGATCGAGTATGTGCACACAAAAACACACAGATCCACAGGTATTGTCTACGGCGCCACCACCATCCGTCAAAGCTACCATCTCGTCGAGGAAGAATGGTATTTCAAAAACTAGCGATACAACCGCTGATGGAAACAACCGAAAGCTATGTCATTGGAGAGGGCGCACGAGTTCATGGAATACACAGTGAGAAGAGATAAAGAAATAAAGTAATATAAAATACAAGTGTGCATCAGCAAGACATGGCCGAAATCTAACAACTGTCTGCACATGCTGTGGTGGGTTGTATCCACGCGCTGGAGGAAGTAACTTTCCTACATGCACAGAAAAACATTTTCAGATTAGAAAGCTCTTCTGTTCTAGCTAATCTCTAGTACCAAGCTCAGACGTGTAGCCGACGAAGCCAATAGCAGCTGGGTATGCTAGTCACTGATTCTGAAGCGGCCGGTGTGTCGATTGCGATGTATCTCAGTTCGGCGAAGGCCTGCGTCTGGAACATGGAAAGAGGGTCTTCTTGCACTCGTCAATCTCTCACAGCAACTGGGCAGGGTTGTATCCGAACGTGGAAAACGCAGCAACCGTTGTTGAACCAAAGGATGGTATTTTTCTCCGAGAAAAACGCCGTGGCTTATCTGGTGTAGACGATCCCTAATCCGGACATGACCGCCGCTGTGCAGGTGTTGGGGAACCACAATGCGCAAGAGATGCGAGAGATGGAGGAGTGCAAGAAGTACGACTGCGAAGCTACATGCTTCATCGAGCAATGAAGTCTGGGTTTTCTCCAACTTCCGCATACACACACTTTTCTCGACGACATCCGTTTCAAGGTACGCATCGGGAAACTGACGATTCTCTGCACTGGTGTTCAGACTCTCCGGACAACCGGCGTCATGTTTTGAGCTCTTTTTCGATAAGGTGCTGTTGAAGTCCAGAATAATGGGGTCTGGATTATCCTCTGGACGGCTCCGCTTCTGGTCGAAAAAATTTCATCCCAAAAAAGGACTTATCTGTTGACTGAAAATGTTTAATTGTGGTGAGGATTGCATGCAGCGACGTCGTAAAGATAGGGTGACAAGGAGCGTTCCAGAGCTCAGCTCGGGGCATGCCCCGGCACTTCCTAGCGTATAAACATACCGGGTGGAATTTGTACCCACCAGGTCTTGCTCGGTGTCCCCTGTGCCTAAGCTGTTGGCTGCATTGCCCTTGCGATTCGAGTGTGGAGAGATTTTAGCAATGGCCTCCGCTGTGGCTTCAACCGTTGTGGCTCCTGTCTCTGTGACTGTGGCGTCATCATCTGTGGCCGCCTCTCGCGAGTCTTCCTCCGTCAAGGCTTTTTCCGGACTGAAGTCAGCGACCCTTTTCACTTCAAAATCCCAGCAATTGAGCTCCGTCCAGAACGGCAGCCGCGTGCAATGCATGCAAGTGAGTCTCTGTCGTCCCCTAATCGAACATATTCGGGGTCGTATTAGTCGATTTCCACGAGATGAGACATCCGGAAATTTTAAGAGTTGTACGATTTTGTGATTGCGCAGGTGTGGAACCCCATCGGGCAGCCCAAGTTCGAGACCTTCTCGTACCTGCCCCCGCTGAGCGATGACCAGATCGCGAGGCAGGTGGATTACATGATCCAGCAGAACTTGATTCCCTGCATCGAGTTCGACACGGTAAGTCGGTGCTCTTCCCGGCGTCCCACGAGTAGACAGTAGTATTGTCGAAGGCAGAGGCATTGGTATGTGGTCGTCCGGAGTGGGTTCCGCGGGCATCGAGGTCACGGTGCAAATGTGGTCTGATGACGCGCTGGGGTGACTTGTCCAGGTCGGAGCCGTGAGCCGCACCAACTTCTCGGGGTCGGGCTCGTCGGGCTACTACGACGGGCGGTACTGGACCATGTGGAAGTTGCCCATGTTCGGGTGCACCGACTCTTCGCAGGTGCTGCGGGAGATCCAGGAGTGCAAGACGTCGTACCCTAGCTGCTGGGTCCGCGTGCTGGGCTTCGACAGCAAGAAGCAGGTGCAGATCTGCGGGTTCTTGGTCGCCAGGCCCAACTAGGGAACGAATTTGTCGAGCTCTCTGGTTCTGGGTCGGGTAGCAGTAGCTTTGATGGTGAGGCACTGACAGTCAGTCGCTCACACGGCAAAGTAGCCTGGATGTGCTTCGCAACGAACTCTTGAATTTGAGTATGTGAGTTCACTTTGAACATCCCAGAAGCAAAAGAATGGGTTTTTTCATGTTTGAATTTTATTTTGTATAGTTGTGTTGAGCCGCGATTTCTATCTGTCACTTGGCTTGATATTCTGAGTTTCTCCGATACGAATAGCGAAGTCCACTTGAACATCTGTAACGGCAGCAATTGCGTCAGGTCAATCCTCTCAGATTCTTTCGGTGCTTTTGTCGTAAACTAGCTTGATTGTTGTCCATTAAGCTTGGTTGCTTTTCGTGAGAAAGCATGAAACTTCTATGACGAAACCCGGTTGATTGTAATGTAACTAGTTTGATTGTAGTTTGAATTTGGTAATTGCGTTGTATGATACATAATGAAAGTTTCATGATGAGGGCTCTTTGTTGGTAGTTATTTTCATTTTAATAGACGAGTATTTTTGTGAAAGTCACTAAGAGTCCTCGACTTTCTGTAAAACCGCAGTGGTTAATTGAGAGAAGTAACCAGTACCAGTTATTACGAGAAGAAGGTTGAGTCTTCGCACTGCAACACATTACTTTGTGTCTGTCAATGTCAATAGTTTTTACATGGCGATTGCCAATAAGTCTGTCGACACAGGTCATTGTACCACCTGAGCAAGGAAAAGGCACGACGTACTGGTACAGTTCCCTTATGGAACTTGTCAATGTGTTCAAACCCATAAGTTGCTGAAAGTGTACAGTCAGGTGATTTGCACACTTTTCAGAGGTAGACCGAACAAAATAAAACTTATGGAATGACATACTTGAAAAGCTTTTTCTGAAAATCTGTCAAATAACAAATGTTTGATATTCTTAATATTCGGAATGTCAAGTCACACATATTTGTTACTGATTCCTGCACAAGGATTAACAATCAGAGCATAAGCAAACATGTATTTTAAATCAAATGACTTTATAATATAAATCGAATCGATTAGATAAGCATGATTTTAAGAGTTGATACTCACCTAGAGAAATTTCTTACATCAGAAGACAAAAGAGATAATGTGCCCAGGAAGGCATGAGACATGAAGTAATAGAAACACATATTCCACTGTGAAATGTGAAAGGGAGTGGCTGAATGAAAGAAAATAGAAGAAAAGAAAAAGGAAAAAAAGATACCAGAAATCTTTTTCAAAATTACCAAAAATGTACTGGAAAGGTACTTTGAAAGTAAAAACCTATTTACAAAATAGAAGTCCAACATCTTTTAAATGTAATAAAATCACCCCTTGTAAAATAATAATACAATACAATAGATTTTCAAAGCTTTCTTATTTGTTTAGTAACAGATTTGAACTTTTCTTAGTGTAGTTACTTCTATGTTTTAATTTAGTAGAAATATTAGACTTCTTTGTTATTACTAGATTGGAAGTAGAAAAAAGTATGAATTAACAAGTATTATAAAATATTAATTTCTAATCTCCCTCAAAAAAATTAAAAATATTATAAAGCAATAAAAATTCAAACAACATCAATTTAAAACCAAAAAAACATTAAAAAGCCATCTTATAGAGTATTATAAGACTTACAATAAATTCACTAATGATAACATTAATCATTTAGCCTAACTATGTTAAAAGGTATTATGACAACATTCAATTAAGGAAGGTGTTTTTTTAATGGATTTACATATCACATAAAAATAACTTCGATAAAATATTTTGATTTGTAAATTATTAAACTTGGTTAGATTGCTAAAAAACATTCCAACTCTTTAAATCCATTAAGTAAAAAAAGAATATAATAGAAAATATATTACTTATATTTAAATAAAACACCAATACATCTAATAACCATTGTTAAGTTATTTAACAAATTATTATCAAATTCCTACCTCAAGGATACAAATTCCTTAAGAGATCTTTTAATATCATAAATAATATTATTTAATTTATAATTATAATTTATAGAAACAATGAGATTTATGCACCTTCAATACTACTAGATATCAATACAAAGTTAGTGGTGCAATCTTTGACTACTTTTGTACATGTTCACTAAGCACTATTTAACTTGAGCTTGAAATAGAAGGATATATTACTTTGATTCTTTTCTTTTAACTTATAAAGATGTTTCTTATAAATCTTGCAACTATAGAAGCAACTATTGACACGCTTAGGTACGCATCAATCATTGCAACTCCAACTCAAGCTCCAATAGCAAGAAATTGTCTTTGTGTATCATGCTTTTATTTTCTATCATAACCTATAAAAAACTATTTATTTTCTCAAATATTTTTATTGAAGAAAAATACAACTCAATAATATATAAAACAAAAAGAATAATAGCAAAATATCAAAGCAAAAATGTTGCAATGTATTAATATTTGATTACAACATATTCCAATAGCAAAGACATTATTGCATAGCAACAACATATTTTAGCAATACATTACAACAACAAAAGCATTTGAATGCAACATCATAATATTCCAACAATCCATCACAAAGATGATAACCTTGCATTGTAGCAACATCTCATCATAGCAATACATTGAAGCAATAAAGCATTATAGCACAATAGCAACATAGCACAATAACAAAAATATTGTAGTACAATAACACTTTATTGTAACAATATAAATATTTTAATATAATAATAACTTATTATAAGAACATCTTATTGCAATAGTATAAATATTGTAGTATAATAATTATTTATTACTAAAATACCTTATTGATAAAACTACTCTCAGATATCTTGTTTGCTAAATAAAAGAGCAGCTTGTCCTCTAAGTATTCAACAGTTGCCAACAAGAATAATCCAATTTTTTTGTTTCCAAGAGCTACCTCTCTTGTGTTGGCAATTGTCCAAATTTAGTCTCAAATTCCATGATTAGTTCATTTGGAGCCATTTGATTTCTTGGCCTTTACTCAATCTACTCCAAAAAGATTTGTTTTTTCATTCTCTCTAAATCTTCCTCAAAAACTTTATCTTTCAAGAGTTCTTCAAATTTCTTCCTTCACATTGCCTCAGTATGCAACTCCTGCATCTTCCCTCTAATTTTTGGTATCATTGCCAAATCAAAGATGGTAATCATCTTCAATTCTGAAACTTGATGCACATATGTTTTACATGTATAAATCCTAAGGAACTTAGTGATGTCACTCTCATCAAACCTTCCAATCTTATCCATCACTACTTGTAAAGCTTAGGTGCTGTTTCTATCCTTCCAATGCACTTGTTGCCTCTCTTTTATAAATTTAGCAGATACCTTGAATAAATCATGGGTACCTATTCCACTTGGTAAAGCAAACCTTGGGATTTGATTTCCCATCTTGACTTGTTGAAAAATTTGGTGCCTTAAGGCTCTCTCAAAAGAAGCACCAATAATGTTTGGATAGAGAGAATTTGTCTTAAAAAAGCATTGGACTTTTGGCTATCTCTAATTGTTCAATCAAGTCTCAAGATAGAAAAGTATCAAGTTATATATATATATATATATATATATATATACGTATATAAATTTATTCCAATATAGGTAATTACATCAATACATAATTTCTTAGTACTAAAGAAAATCCAAAATATAATAAAAATATTCGAAATCCTTATATATTCCTAAGGTGAATTTTTTCCAAACTTCAATAGATCATATCTCACAATCGACCTATCCAAACAAACTTAAAATTTACATGAAGTATTGATGTACTTTAAAAAGCTATCACAAAAAAGTTTAATTACAAATTTCTTACAAATCTTGAGATATTGCTAAAATGCTAACAATAGCTTCATAGCCTTGCTTGAATATGCCCCTATGAAATTTTCTTCATATCTCACAAACTAAATATTTAAATATCATAAAAAAAATTTATTTATAGTTTTTCAACCTAATAATACATATCTTTAGAAAATTTGAGCCAAAAATTTGTTCAAAAACTCAAGGTATACTTCCAACTATTATTATCAACAAAATGATCCATGTACTGCCTTTGAATTACATGTATTGTCTTCAATGCTTTATAACTCCTTCATACAAACTCCAAATATAACAATTCTTTTGTAAAGATGTAAATGTTGAAATCACCCTTATGATTGCATTCTTGATCTTCAAAATCTATTGTATAACTCCTTGTATTTTCAAAAGAGTAACAATATGTCTTAAAAAGACACATTAACTTCAAATGGCTATAACTTCATCACCTTAATTCCAAACCTTTTAAACTTTGTGCAATCATTGATTTTAATTCTCAAATGTTCTTTTTGAAGTTGCCAAAATCCTTGTTATCATTGCAGATAGCCTCTTCAGAGCCTATAAGACATGGCTTTTGACCAATAGGGATGAAGATCCTCATTCTTTACCTTCATCCATCCATACTTTACTTTCATCCTTCCAAATAAGCTTCTTAGAGGTTTGCATCTTCATCTTTGAGCTCCAATCTTTTCTTTAAATTTTGTACTAAATATTTAAATCTTATATAATTTAAATATTACAATCAAAATAAGTAAACTTCAAAATAAATTTTCTTACATCAATTCTCTTTAAATTAACCTATTAACCACTCTAATACACATCAATACTTATAAATATATCATATATTTTAGTCAATTTTTACATACTATAAACAATTAGAATATAATAACATTGAGGCCTACTTATGCAATTTTCAAATAAAAATTTAAAAAGTCGATTGTCATTCTTCAAAGCAAAATCAATTACTTGACTCAATGTTTGAGGATTAAGTAAATTGACCATCAATTTCTTTACCTCATATTATAATCCATAAAGAAATTGGCTAATGAGTGCAGCATCATCCCACTTGATATCAATCATAAGTTGTCAAAATTGTGAAGCATACAATATTATACATTGATTAACTCCCTTAAATATACTAGCATTTGTACCATTGCACTATTCATTTTGACAAGCTCTATTATAATAATACTTAGAAGAAAAGAGATGTCTAATATTGCTAAAGATAAATAAAAGAAAGAACTTGAGAACAAAAAAAACAATATCAAATTTAAATGAGGATAATCCACAACATCTAATATGCTTATGTCTTATCAAGATAAAAAGATAATCCATTCTTAATCAAGAAAAGTCAAAACTTTGATATTGTAAGTGTATTCTTGTCAATCTCTCAAAGATAAGAATTCAAAGAAAACAAATATACAAGTGAGACTTTTTCAAAGAAGTATGAAAAAATAGAAATAAAAAAATATGTATATTAAAAAGAAACTAGAATTGCTATTGCCAAAATACAAGAAAACTAG